CAAAAATGAGTGAAAATAAAGAAGAAATTCGCTATATTTTGAAATTTTTGTATAAAAAAGGGAAGAATGCCACGCAAGCCACTAATGAAATTTGTGATGTTTACGGTGACGATGCTCTATCAGTTCGTGTAGCACAACAATGGTTCGCACGCTTCCGTTCAGGAAATTTCGATGTGAAAGATGCACCTCGCTCTGGTCGACCAATCTTTGAAAAAGTCGATGAAATTATGGAAAGGATTGACCAAGACCGTCACATAAGCAGCCATGACATCGCAAATGAACTAAACATTCATCATCAAACGGTTCTGAACCATTTAGAAAAGGCTGGCTACAAAAAAAAGCTCGATGTATGGATACCACATGAATTGTCTGTGAAAAATTTATTGGACAGAATTAACATTTGCGATTCTTTGCTGAAACGAAATGAAATCGAACCATTTCTGAAGAGAATGGTAACAGGAGACGAAAAATGGATCAAATACGACAATAATGTGCGAAAAAGATCATGGTGCAAGAGTGGTGAAGCTCAACAAATGGTCGCAAAGCCAGGATTGACGGCTCGAAAGGTAATGCTGTGTGTTTGGTGGGATTGGAAAGGAATAATCCACTATGAGCTGCTTCAGCCTGGTCAAACGATTGATTCGACACTTTACTGTGGACAACTGATGAGATTGAAGCAAGCAATCGAAAAAAAACGGCCAGAACTGATCAACAGAAAGGGCATCGTATTCCATCAGGACAACGCCAGACCACACACATCTTTGATGACCCGGCAAACACTGAGAGAGCTTGGCTGGGAAGTTTTAATGCATCCACCATATAGCCCTGACCTTGCACCTTCGGACTACCATTTATTTCGGTCAATGCAGAACTCCCTTAACGGAGTAAAGTTGGCTTCAAGAGAAGCCTGTGAAAATCACTTGAAGCAGTTTTTCAAAGAGAAACCACGAAAGTTTTACACGAATGGAATTATGTCTCTAGTGGAAAAATGGCAAAAGGTGGTCGACCAAAATGGTGCATATTTGATTTAATAAAGTTTATTATAAATATTTAAAAATATGATTTGAAGTTTCATTACAAATACGAAAAGACTTTTTAGACTACCCAATATAATGCTTAATCGCACTATAATATGTGCATATATATTTTTTCTATAAAGGACAATTTGGATAATTATTGTCAAAATCTGTATATTTCTGGTATAAGTATCATTGAAATCTATTTGTTTTCTTGACGGACTTAAATGAAAGCTAGACAGTTCGAATAGATATCGAGAGACTACGCTTGCCTTATATAATCGATAAGGTTTACAAATCGATTAAAATCGATAATACCACTTTTACTACTTAAACATATCCAATATATAGATATCGAGATACTAAGCTTGCCTTATATAATCGATAAGGTTTACAAATCGATTGCAATCGATAACACAACTTTTGCTACTTAAACATATCCAAGAATTATACTTCATATCAAAATTATCCATAAATAATTTCCTATATTGTTATAGAGTATCTCTTAGTCCCGCGCACCCGAGAAATACCACTTTCACTTGTTTCTCTTTTTTTTTTTTTTTTTTTGCCACAACATGTGCACGATAATGGAACATGACCAACATTTTATTATTATCGTTCAAATAACAGTAATGAAGCTAGCTGCGAAAGCAACAACACAAGTGCCCAATCACATCTATCATAAAAGCTATTGATTATATTACTCACTATCAGAGTCCATCCATTAGAAGGAGTGATAAACCGAAACTAACTAAGGCGACAGCAACTAATAACCCACATTCACTTATTTGCCTATAGATAGCACTAAACAACTTGTTGTGCACTTGTCTTTGAGCGTGTCTTAGTCTGGCTCAGAAAACAGATGTTCTATATGAACTCAGCTTGCTGCGAAGCGATGCTCATGAAATTTGCTGCAGCTGCTACCTATGGCAGCTACAATGAAATACATATATGAAAACTAGTTAAATCGCTTGGATAGATCTGAGCGAAAATGGAAAATATGTAGGATAATGAAAATGAAAATCTATGCAATATTTCTTATATGTACATATTCATATGTGCTATTTAATAAAAATATATATTTATACATGTATGCACAGTAAATTCGATTTGTATATAATTTCAGCAATATTTCATATAAAACATGTTAGCCGGCTTTGCGCGTCTTAGACCGAGCCACGTAGCTCAAGCAATTGCTGTTCATTTGGCTTAAGATATACTTAGCTGTCATTTTAACTTTTTGACACATTTTCAATGGGCGTGGGTGTGGGTGGGTGTGGGTGCATGTGTGTGTGTCTATATGCATGATATATATATATATATATATATTTTTTTTTTTCTTTTTTTTTTGGTTCTTTAACGGCATTTGAACACGTCAGCGCTTTTCTGGCTGTATGGGTAACGCTTATCAGATTGCCAGGCCTTATAATCGTATAAAATATAATATATATATATATAAATATATATTTATATATATACATACGTATACGTTATCTAGCAAGCATATATCTAGCTCTTTCTCACACTCTCGCTCTCTCCCTCCCTCTCTCACCCTCTCACCCTCTCTCTCTCCTCTCTCTCTCTCACTCTCTCTCTCTCTCTCTCCTTCTCTCTCTCTCCCTCTCTCTTGGTGTCTGTCTAACTTGAGTTATCTTTTAGCTGTTGCCAGTTGCTTATCTTATCAATAAATAGCGACTACGACGACGCCAAAGAACTTCAATTCAATTTCTTTTCAATTTCTTGCACACACACATACACACACACACACACACACATACATACCCACACCTGTCAGACGTCAGTCAAGTAACTTTTTTTCCTACTTTCCTTTGGCCGTGCTCTCGTTGAAAATCTCGACAGAATCTCGTAATGATGAGCGACGGTGTCGTGTTTTCATTAAGGCACCAACACACTCACCCACACGCACACACACACACACACAGACACACCTATACCACACCTATACAGCCACAAAAAAAAAAAAGATGTAAATTTGAAAATCTTCTCTAATAATAATAATAATGTCGTGTAATAATACAATATGTATGCAGGCATATTGTCTTCTAAGGGTAGAAGCTGCTGGCCTTTGATCTAATCGCTGGCACAGCAACGTTGCACACACACACACACACACACACACACATTAATAATACACTAATACACCAATACACCCACACACTCGCATATATACAGACATTTTGCACACAGGTAAGCAATGGTTTCTTTACCTTTGGCTCTAGTCAGCCTCCTTGGCAAACATGAAGATGTTTCGCTCTGCGGCTTTCACAAAATGTTAATTTTGTGCTAATGAAAGCGGCGTCTATTTGCCAGCTCTTGCGTGTGTGTGTGTGGGTGTGGGTGCTGGTGTGTGTGTGTGTGTGCAGCATTTAGACGCCATTTTGTCAGGCTGTCTAATGAAATTGCGCTGTCTTGTGCTAAAGATTTTTGGCTGCACAGATTTGCGCAAGGCAACGGAACCAAAAAAAAAAACAAAAAAAAAACATTCAAAATCATATGAGTGAACTCTAATAGGGTATGCTCGACTAGCAGATGACCTATAAGCTGTGGAGCAGTTACATAAATTCGCTTTATCGGATCGTATCAATCATATAGGGCATCCACTCGTAAATTTACATAGACTTTGACTTGAAATACCAAACGATACTTATCGATAATATATACGCCCAATCGAGTAGTATATTTAATTCACATCTTTAATGAATTCAAATAATTCATTAAGCAACAATCAAGAGAATTACATTTTATCTCGATATCTACTGGAAGCTATAAAGGAAATTAGTCATATTAATTGGAATCGATATTAATTGGTATTATATAAAAAGAATTTTATTTATGTCAAGCTCCTGTCTTAAAAAATCTAAAAGCTAAGCAAAGAAGAGAATGAAATTTTAATTCTTATTGTGCGCCAATCTTTAAAATACATTCGATATTAATCGATAAATTATAGAAATTTCATACATATCAATATCATATAATCAATTATTTTTTAGTAAAATTTCAAAGCTAAGCAATTATCATATATATATTATTAGCTCATCCCAGTTGATCAGACATATCTCCAAAGCCTGATTGTCGAATCAATATTTATCGATAAATCATAGGAATTTCTATTATACCTATATTCTGAGGTAACTCTTGAAATCGTTTGCCAAATTGATCAAGGAAAAGATACACCCTCTAATAACTCTCTCTACCATTTACAGGGTATGACAAACAGTTTTTGTTTCAAACTAGCAATTTGGCTCTGCCCCATGTGGCGCCATCTATGGGCCAGGTACAGTACGGGCCCCAAAGTTCTGGCAAGTGTCAAATAACAATTAACCGAATGGGCGCATCTAGAATGGATTCAGCCCGATGCAGCCAAATGCGAAAATCTTTAGCAAAAATTTTAATTAACTCAAAGTGTAAATATTTATTTTTCAGCTTTCATTTCCCAAAATGGTTGTTTACAAATGTTGTGGAAAATGTGAAAATTTCGAGAAAATTTCACATTCTTTTGTTGTAGACCTTTACTCGAATGGGAAATTTTATCGATTCCAAGATAGTGTTAACTGTTATTTCGATTCGATTTTTTCATTCAGTTCTATCAAAGTTCGCCTCAAGTATACAAAAATGGAATCAGCAGTTATCGATAACAGTTAGCTAGATTCACTTTTTTACAATAAGTTCTATTGTAGTACGCCTTAAGTATACGAAATGGAATCGGAAGCTATCGATAACAGTTAAACTGTCTAACTATGCTAGTTGGAAAAAATTGATTATCGATACCTTCTTGTTTATAATAGCTATCGCTAATCGATATTTCGATATTTCGAATGCCGAGAATATCTATATAGAATTACATCTATTTTTATGAACATGCTATTTGCATATCGATAGCAATAACTAATTTTTATCGATATACAATATTTTATCGACCCGTCGTATTTTATCATATTCATAGTTAAGCTGAGCTGTACTTACCAAATGTAAAACAGTGTTGACCACCTCCCGATTGGTCACCTGGCCCACCTCGATGAGGCCGATGAGGACGGCAAATTTCAGATTATCGGCGGTTGTCATTCTGACGATTTCGTCGGGCCGCTTAATGTCGCTGAACGGCGGACGCATGATGTCCGCCATTTTGTAACGAGTCGATTATTGATTTGTTGATGCAAATTGTTGTTATCGATATCGATTGATTATCGTTTCAGTTGTTCGATAGACACATACAAAAGTGTGGCATTAATTAGTTGTCGTTGTTATTGTTGTTGTTGTTGTTGTTGTATTTGGTTACAATCATTCAGATTGAGAGATATATATATATTATGTATATATAGAACCATATGTGTGTAGATTGGATGGATGGAATTCACAGGGGATAGCTATGGACGCACGCACACACACACACACACATAGAGACACGAATGCACACACCGACACATACATATACATATGTGTGCGTGGATATATCTATATAGATAAGGGAATGCTGCGGATGCTCTTTATCTATAGCGCAAAAGAAAACAAACAACAACGATTTTATCGGGAATGAAACAAAATAAAAAATTAGCTTGATATATTTTTTTATATTTAGCTGGATTTTGTTGAATTTTATTATTTATTTTTAGATTTTGCACATTTGTTGTTGTTGTTGTTGTTGTTGTTTTGGCAGCCGTTGTTGGCGCTCATATTGAGTCGCTTTCGGTTGTTACATTTATTTTTTTTTTTTTTTTATTAATTTTTATGTATTATTATATTTAATTGCACACTTTTGTATTTTTTTTTTTTTTTTTGTGGATTTTTGGATGTTGTTGTTGGTTGACATTCAGAAAAGAGGAAGAGAAAAAGAAGAAATGAATGCAAAAATTAATAAAATTTATTTATGTATTTAAATATTAAAGTTGTGTAATATTCGTGTAGGTGGAAGCTTTTAGGCAACATTGAATTTAAAAAAATATTGGAGAAAATGCTGGATTTTTGGGATTTACAATGGACAAGCATAAGACATATATGCATCAATATATGATTACAAAAACAGAAACCAAAAATATACAAATATATAATATAAAAAAATATATAAATAAAAAAATATATAATAAAAAAAATAATAATAATAATAAATATATGCATAAAATTAAATAAAAAATAAATGGTGAAAATAATATTTTTATCTCTATGTCTGCCTATCCCTCTATTTCTCTGTCTCTAACTATCCCTTTAACTCTCCATCTCTCTATATCCCTCTATCTATCTACATATCTATCTTTCTCTCTATCTCTCAATCAATGTCTGTGTCTCAATCTCTCAGTGTCTCAATCTCTCTATTTCTCTATTTCTATCTCTATTTATACATAGATTATATATGAATGTATCTTATATTAAATGCTTCAATGATTTCTTTTAATTTCCAACTTGAAAGTTTTTCGTTTCTCTTCCTACAAACTTACGGAAATTGAGTAAAACAAACAGCAATTTCTTATCAAGAACTTTTATTTTCAATTGTCAGATACATAGTATTTCTTTTCTTCTACCCATCTCGTTACCAAACTGATTTTACTTTCTCTTATTCTCTTTCTCTCTCTCTCTCTCTTTCTCTCTATCTCTTTTTTATGGTCGCGTCTTTATTTTTATTTTTTTTTATTTTTTTTTGTTTTTTGCCTTGTGCTTTGATGCCTGATTTCGTAATATCTTAAGGGTTTTGACTCATGCACTCGGCATACAAAGAAGAAGAAGAAGGGGAAGAGCAAGAGGAAGAGGAAGCAGTAGCAGTAGCAGAATATCAAAACAATTCGTCACGCATCAGCAATAAAAGTTGCATAGAGCTAGCGACATACATATGTACATGTACATATACACATACATATATGCACATGTATGTATGTATATAGATAGTTGACTTTTATTTTATATAGAAATCAAATGAAATTTCGAGTCTACTGTTTTCTATATCGTAAAAACTCTTCTTATCAGAGATGTTTCCATTTTCCATTTTAAAGCAGAGTTAAAATTGTTTCTCCCATATCTTTATCATCAGACTTCTATTTCACAGTCTTATTGGTCTTATTGGAAAAATGCATCAAAGTTCGTCTACTGCTTATGTTTACACTCTTTTTCCTAAAACTCTTCTCTCTCTCTCTCTCTCTCTTTCCCTCATTTTGCTAATGCACCGGTAAACAATGAAATCTTCTATCTAAAAGAGTTTCCCGACTTCATCTGGAGAGATATTATTTTACTAAGCAATTAGCACATTGAAGTAACTCTTTGAAGGAAGTAACAAAGAAAAACAACTCATTTCATTTATTTAAGGGCAAAAAAAAAACACTGTAAAGCAGTTCACTTTAACGACATTTTACTGTACTTCATCTGCAAACAAGCCATCGCAATGCCCCCACTAAAGATATTTCTTAGAATATATCAATAGGGGCCCTATTTGAAATTAATCTGAAGCAAATAAATGCCATCAAAAAAATATTTAAGCAAAAAAAGAAACAACAAAAAAAGAAAGAGAAAAGAAGTGAAAATAAAAAATAAAAAAAAAACGGCGTGGCATATTTTGCGGTAGTTTGATTGGTAACAACGCAGGCATCGGCGTCGGCTTCGGTGTCGGCGTCGGCGTCGGCGTCGATGACGTTGATGTTGACGTTGACGGGTCGTACGACAGTAGCGCTATCAAACGTAATTAACGCAGCACGCTACGTAAATGAAGTGCGCTTACGCTAACGCGACACGTAAGCGGCCGGTTTTGGTTACCACTTCTTAGCAATGTTGTCGTGCACGCGAAGAGGGGGTGGGCGGGCCAAAACGCAAAACTAAACGAAACGAGCAAGAGAATGGACAACCCATACAGGTCGTGACGAGAGAGGAGGAGAGAGGAAAAGAGCGAGCGAGCAATGCGAAGTCGTAGCATCACAGCAATTCAGGTGATGCATGCCCAATTGGAGCATGCAAGTTGCCAATTGGCAATTGGCAATTGGCAATTCTCAAATGCATTGCACAACAATGCAAATGTATTTGTTTAGAGATCACGCTCTATGAAAATATATACATATGTAATATATAAAAATAATGAGCAAAAGAAAGGGGAAAAACAACCGCTATCATAATGTTATCTAAGCGTTTATCTCAACATGGCCAGCCGGGCCAAAAGCAAATTTGATAAATAAACGAGTGTTATCTCTATGTTCGAATTGGACTGCAAATTGTTTAGCTATACCAATTAGAGCCTATGCATTAACGTAACAATTTTTTATGGTAATGTTGTTGTTGTGCATACATACATATATGTATGTGTGTATATTCATATATTAATTGATATATGTATGTATGTATGTATGTTGGTTCTTGTTGTTGGTTATTCTTCTTGGCCCAACAACTTTGCCATTGGGTTTGCACTTTACGCGCTCTCTCTCTCTGGTTCTGGCTCTTGCTCTCATTCTCGCTCTCTTTGATACGACTCTCTTGCTCTCTGACTCTCTGTTGCTGTTATTGTTGTTGCTGCTGTCTGCTGTTATACACGTTGTTGTTGTTTTTGGTGGTGGCTAAAAGCGGCGCTTGTTCCTTTTCGTTCTGTTTCGGTGGTTGCTTCGCTCGCGCTTTTCGAATAACAAACTCAAAAAAAAAAAAAAAAAAACAAACAAATATACAAAAAAATGTGGTTTTGGCTAAATTGCGCAAGCCAAACGACAGCAACAAATTGCTCAAATTCAAATACAAGTTATTTACACTATGGCCTAACATAACCTCCAACGACGAATTGTTAATTGCACACACATGCACACACACATACACAAGGTGCTAATGTTTTTTCCTTTGTTTTCCTTTGCATTACGAGTCTCGCTCTCGCTCTTTCGGTCGCGCTCCAGGCTCTTCCACAATTCACCTTGGTCGCCTTACAACACGCACACACACACATACACACAGGCAAACACACACACATACACACACCTTCCTCGCACCCTCTCCCGCTAGTGTTCACACTATGACAAAGTGGAAAAATCAATGAATGTCAGCCGTAACAGAACGCAAGAGAGCGGGCACGTGAGAGTAAAGTGCATGCAAAGACAAAGAGAGCGCGCGCGCGCGTCCTGCTTCCTCTCGCACTCCAATGCCCCGCGCTGCCTAGCAGCTTTCTCGGTCCCACACGAACCTGAACACACGTCGTCAGTTTGTTAACTTATTCTTATTAGGCTGCTGGCAGCTACCACGTTCTACCATACACACGCACACGTGCATACTTTACGCTCACACAAGGCACGGAAACACACATACACACGGACACTATACTCTCATACTCTCTCGATGCCGCTCTCTGACTGTTTCTCTGTGGATGTCAACGTCAGCGTTGCGGCTTTTCTGCTTCTTGCTACGTTTCGCTTTTTTTGTCGTATTATTTTGCACCGCTTTGTTATATTTTTCATTCTTATAAGCGCACCAACACCGACACAAATGCTAATTGGCATTGCCCAAACTACACAAAATTCTTAATTGGAGTGTCAAATGCACCAAATGCCAATTCACCGCGTAAAGCAAACAAAAACAAACCACGAAGCAAAAAAACAAAAAACTGAGATGACAAGAGAAGAGAAATTAACGGCAAACCATAACAAGAACGAGCATGTTCAATGTTTTACAACAAAATGCCGACAAAAAAAAAAAAAAAACAATTATATTTACGTTGTTTTGGTGTCAGCCGCATGGGCTGCCCTTTGTTGTTGGTGGTGTTGTAATAGTAGTTGTCGTATTTTATTATCTTTTGTAATTTTCTATAAATATTACCGCACACTTTACACAAAACATATACAATATTAATAATTTATTTTTTTTATTAATTTTTGTATCATTATAATATTTAATTTTTATTTAATTTTTTTATAGTTGTTACGATTGTTGTTTCGCACACGTACACACAGAAAAAAAAATCGCAAAAAAATTATTATTATGATGCATAAATAAATCAACGTTCACGTAACAACAAAAACACAACCATCTTCGTTTACGTCTTGCTGCCTACTGACGTTAACTCTTACGCCGTCAAACTAGCAATGAGAACGCATGGACAACAAACCCAATCAGAATGCTTGTTTATCGGCCATGTTCTCGTTTACGGCAACGCACAGTGGTGTGCATTGCTTACAATGCTCGCCGCTAGTTAACTGTTGGTAATTGCTTTGCATTAACAAGTGTTTTGGCTAAGTATTCAAAATGCAATAATAATTTAAGTAATTGACTGCGTTTTTGCCGTTTATCAACTGAACAAACTGTAATTTAGTTAAGCTAAGGACACTAGCGAAAGGCGGAACATCCTGCATTACAGCTGTTAGAGGATAATAACATCTGTTCGCCTTAAAACACACTGTTACTGTTAACTTAACAGTCAGGCACTCAGCGGAGAGCCAGGCTCAGCGGCACGCTCTCTATAATTGATGGTGAGAGTCCTTTCGAAAGTGCTGCCTATTTTTGGCGCTCGTATAACACTTTTTGAATGCACTCATTTTGACAAGATGTATTCATTTGAAGACACATAGAATCTATAACCAGAAATCGTACGTTCATTTAAAATGAAGTTTGCATATCATTTGTGTTGGCATATATTATTTTGGTTTTAAAAAACAATATTTTTTTAAAAGATTTTCTTCTTTAAATGCCTTTGCCACCTCACGCGCATTTCTTATTTGAATTGCTGTTTATTGAGCACAAGAAAGAAGTTACGCTCTTTTGCAGCCCTAGACAATAATTGCTCCAATTAGAGTATTTAGAGAGTATTTAAATACTTAGCCATATGTTTTTCTTTTATCAAATCAGCTGCTTTGAAATTTTGACTAATAACTCTTTATAGTCAAATGATATTTAGAATTTATTTAAAAATTTCGTCAAATACATAAATATAACTGTTTATATGTAGATATGTGATAGTGGGAGTTAAATGCTCCTTTCTGCGCAAAAGCGCAGTAAGAGCAGCGCATTCTTGAGATTCTCAGCGATAACAATCGCATTGAGACTAAACAACATTTATTTAGCTGCTCTATTTGCCTCATGTTTTTCGTTCATACGATTGAAGTACATTACAATATAAATGTAGCTCAATTCAAACTATTATTTAAATTATTATATATGATGGTTTTCAAAATATACGTTTTTATCGATAATAATTAATGTAAAATAATTTACATAAAATTAAAATGTTTTCTTACGATTTCCTTGCATTTAACAGCTAAGACTAAAATTAAAAAAAAAAAAAAAATAGAAAAATAAAAAAAAATTATATTGTAAGCATTATTTTAGCAACGAATATTTGCTCGAAGCAAACTAGACAAAGTAAAAATAACAATTAAATTCAAATTGCGTGATAAGTTCCAAGGAAATATCGATAGTAAGCAGCCATCAGCGAATATCGCTGCAATCGATTGTATCGGCCAAAGGCTTACAGCTCTATTCACTGCGAACGCGTTTCGAGCAATAGCAACAGCAACGACGACAGCGCCACAACAACACAACACAAATCAATTTTGTGTACAAGTGTGCAAAAATATTATAAAATAACTAATACGAAAACAAGAAATAAGCCTTGGCTTAAAGCAACAGCCAAAATTTATAAAAGAAAAAGCAAATATTTTTTGTTATTGTTCGAGCTCTTTTTTTTGTTATTGTGTGTTTGTAGTTGGCTGCACGGGCAGCAGCAGCAGCAGTAGAAAAACGCAGAAAAAAGTGAAATCGATTAAAAGCGCAATAGGCAGCAGCAGCAGCAGCAATAATAACAACAACAGCACTTGATGGAAAACAAATACAAATCCGTGGAGTAAAGTTAAAAGTAAAAGAAAATAAGAACGCAACAGAGATTTAATTTTAATGTCGCAGTAAATTTGTGTGCTGGCAAGAAGCAGCAGCAACAGCAAAAACCAACAACAACAACATACCAGCAGCAGCAGCAGCTGAGGCAGAAGCTGAATCGAAAACAGAAAACAAAAAACGAATACGAACAGCAAAGAACGTACGACGCAGACGTCGCAGCCAGCAGCCTCTCCGCTGTGTGCGTGTGTGTGCCTGTGAGTGGTGGTGAGCGTGGGTGCGAGCGAGGCAGCAGCAGCAATAGCAACAACAAAACAGAGCAGCAGCGACGACTGCGACGTCAACAGCAACAGTAGCGACGGCTGTTGTCGTTCTTTTTTTTTCGTAATTCATTTTGGTTTTTTTTTTGACACAATTCAAACAAACTCGGAGCTTTGCACTTGAAAGTTTGTTTCTAAGCTCGACTTTGTGTTTGCAGCTGCAGCGTGAGTGAGTGTATGTGCGTCTGCCTTTGTGTGGGCGTCAACAGTCGCTAGCAGTGGAGAGTTCAAAGAAGAACGCAAGACGCAGTTTGTTTGTTGCCAGCCAAAATATAAAAACAAAATCAAATTACTGTTGCTGCTGCTGCCGACTGTAACAACTACAACTACAACGAAAACAACTTTAACAGCAAATAGCTCAAACACACAACAACAAAAACAACAGCAACAATAATAACAAAGCAAAGAAGAAGACGAAAGCTACGCAGCAATAGAAACGACAACAGCTGAAAACATATGATTTTTGTTTGTGTTGCTTTTGTTTTTGTACGCTGTACTCAGCTTCTTCCACTGTGTCCTCAGTCGTAAGCAGCGAAAACACGAAAGAAAAAGTTGAGCAGCGGAACGTTCGGAACTGGAACGAACAGGCTCGCATTGTTGTTGCTGCTGCTGCTGCTGTTGCTGCTGCTCCTATCCACCAATTCTCAACTGTTTCTTGACGTCGTAACAACAACGCCAGCAGAAGCAGAAGCGTCAAGTGGTAAGTTTACTGTTGTCGTTGTTGCTATTGTGTTTCTTCCTCTTCTATTTTCCATATCTTCTCTTTTTATTATTATTATTATTTATTTTTTTTTTTTTTTTTTATTGTTTCATTATTGTTGACGCGCGAAATTAGCGAAGGAGAAAAACAAAAATTTGTATTGAAAAACAAATGTTATTTTTATGCAATTTTTTGTTGTTTATTGTTTATCTGTTGTTCGCTTTTCGAAACTCTTTCAAGTACACACAAATACACATAGACGGGCATATGTGTGAGTGTATGTGTTTGCTTGTATACGTGTGGCCCACCTCTAAATTGTTACCAAAGGCATGCAAGCGACGTATGCGTGTATATTTTGCATATATGTATATTTGCATTACTTGATTTCATAATGTTTTTGTCACATATGTATATCCGTGTTTTGTTATTTTTGTTTTGTGTTTTGTTATTTTTATTTTGCCTAAGTTCGCTGTGCTTTCAAAAAATATACACAAACATACGTATATACAATCGACACACTGATATACACGCAGACACGCACACACACATATATACACATCCATATATTTATATGTATTTATATATGTATAAGCGAGCAGTGCGCGTTAGACAGACAACGGACAGCAGAGCGAAACGCAACCAAACGAAACAAACTGATAATGAAACACTTTGGCACATTGGTTAACAATGTATATATGTATAAATATATACATGTAAATATTGAATTTAATTTAAATTAAACAAATTGTTAATATTATCAACTGTAAAATACATTAAACTAAATATCATGGAAATAGTTAACTAAATAATGATAGCTTGCATAGTTAGCAATCACTCATTTGATTAGAAATTTCCCATAAAGTTGATTTATTTTAATCATTTAATAAATTAAATTGGTTTATTTATTCATAACATCAAATGCTAGCATATTTATATAATATACAAATTTCTATACGATGAAATATGAGACGTATAAATATGTTGTTTACTTTTGCTTGCCATTTTCTTATGCATTTGTATCACTGTGCATGACGCTCTGCCAGTTGAAAGAGAGGCGATAAAAGAAAGAGCATAAAAACAACATTTCGTTGCAGCTGACCGTCGTGTGTGTGTGTGTGTGTGTGTGTGTGTTTGTTTGTTGTTGTTACTTCATTTTGTTTTTGTTTTTCTTCTATTTGCTCTGATTCTTATTTTGATAATTGCCTTTTGGGCTGCAGGGGGCCTCTTTGTTTCCAAAAATTATTAGCAGCAGCCACTAAAAATAAAGCAATTGAACAAGATGAGAAAGGAGGAGAAGAGACAAGACAGCGAATGCATTGCTAATGACACAATAATTTTATTTCGTTTGCTTTTGATTTATATTTAACTTTTTTTCACACAGTTCAGCGTTAATTCATTTTGTTTATGAGTTTGTATATGTTTTAATGTTTTTCGTTTTACTTTTTGTTGGTATACAAAATTGCAAAAGCATAAAGATGATGCTGGCACGCTCACTCTAACGCTTGCCTGCGCTTTCGCTTTCTCGTTCTAGCTTGCAGTTTCAGGTTCGAATTGTTTGAAATTTACCGCAAAATGTTTGCCAAATATTTTGTTGTGAGTGCGAATGTTTAGAAATGAAACGAAATCAGTGCAAAACAAGTGAATGAGTGAGTGAGGGGTGTAACAAGAATGAATTACAACAAGTATGTAAGTTGGCAACAGCTTTCCATTGGTGTTGGTGTGAAGAATACGCATGTATTAGTACAAAGCTCTTGAGCGCATTTCGTATTGTGCTTTCAGTGAATATTCGTGTCTTTCGTACGTGATTTGAAAAGCAATGAAAGCCACTTGCCGAACAAAGGGGGTGGGGGGAGGAATAGCAGGAGACGGGTGAATAATGAAAATACAATTTATCAAACAAAATTCCTAATTCAGCAATTTTTATAGATACACACATATGAAATGTGCAAAATTGTATACAAAAATCTTTTGTTGACCTGTTGCTATTTTCTCTCTCTCTCTCTCTCTTTAGGTTTTCCCTGCCTTAATTAAGTTAATTAAATAAAAAATATAAATTATAATCAATTTCAATATGCAATTATAATAAAAACCATTCAATTTCTTGCACATTTTAAATTTATTGAAATTTTCTTCAATTATTCCTTTATGGATTAGTTCGTTGAGTTTCCTATGACGCATTCAAAAGCTCCTTCACATAATCAACTTCAAAATGCTTATTGCTCAATTAGTGTCCTGTCTCTCTTTCATTTACACGCACTCCCTCTCTCTCTCCCCCCACTCTCGCTCTTCAACTTTGATAGCATTTCGTGCGCTTTTGAAATGCTGTATGCATGTACATATATTTATAGTAACACCTGTTCATAAATGCTTAGTATGTGTGTGCGTGTTTCTGTGTTGCGTTTTGTTGTGATTTTTCTTTGTCTACCAAAAACGCTTTGCGTAGATTTTGTCAAGTGGCTTTGGCAATGAACAGCATAAACAATAACACACACAAGCATACGCAGACACATGAGCTTTTTACTGTGCATATGTATGTATGTATGTGTGTATTTGATTTTGCGTGCACAAAGAAATCGAACGAACGGAACCATTGGCTCAACTCGCTGAGTAGCTAGCTTATTAACATTGACACACCAATTTACACACACACACACATACACACACATAGACGCAGCCAGTTAGTGGCACACAAAGCAAAAAGCTCGCAGACAACGGTCAACATTAGTTGTTGCTTTTATTTTGCTGCCTATGTCAAAACAAAGACAAAGTGCGTTGCGTTCTATGAGCGGGTGGCTGGCTACGCTGAGTCGTGGAGAGAGGTAACTGTTGCTCTTGAATGCAGCTATACACATACCTATGCATATCCCCCACAGCTGCCTCTGTGTGTGTGACATTGCTTTTAGTTGGCATTGCCATTGCTATTGCTATTGTTGTCGCTGATGCGCGTGTGCGCAAGTCAATTAAGGAATGCAACGTTTAGTGCCCTCTGCGCTAGTCTCTCCCTCCTTCTTCACTCTCGCTCTCCCGCTCTCTCTTCCAGCTACTTAAAACACAAAGAGCCACAACACACATATTTAAACTCAAATCAACTTTGCAATGCGTCATGCGCTTTGTAAAAATAGTTTTTCGTTTAACTTTAACCCATACTGTTGTGCGCAATTGTATATCCATTTCAATATCATGCGCTGCATACCCTATAAAATAGGTAGTGTTTTGTGTGTGTGTGTGTGTGTGTGAGCTTAACCTGTTCTAAAAACTGGTTAATAAATTTATTTTAATCAATATGAATTAAATGTATTGTTGTTTTTATATAACAGTAAGTATTTCCAGTTAACAAAAAAAAAAAAAAAGCAATAAATAAATAGCACTGCAAATAAGGTATCTTTAATTCGAGCACGTATTACATTATGTCCGACATCAATTAAATTATTTATTGAATTGCTGGAAATTTCATTACTGGGTCGCAGCTTACACATCTACATATGTATATGTGTGTGTATGTATGTAAGTGTATTTAATAGCTATGTGCATATATTATTTCACAATGTTGATCTTTGGCTTGTGGGATTGGCTCTCATACACTACACTTTTTCATATTTATATACCTACATATGTATATATACGTCATATTAGCTTATCAAACAATATTTACATACATACACTCTATACATTATATATGTACATATGTATGCACGTACCCCACAGTGTCAGCACTCTGTATATCAAACGCAATTAATACACGTGTGCATCTAAATGGGTTAAATGACTTGCCATGGAATATTTTGTTCGTAACCAAGAACAAAATAACTACTTTATCGGCACGATAAGCTCTAGCAAAGCGATAAGTAAATCACTTCTGAACTGACAACAACAATTTGGCAAATTGTTTACAAATTTTGAAGAAAACACATCTAACCTTTTGCCTATTGAACAGAAAAAAATTAAATAAAAATAGAAACAAAAACAAAAATCATCTGTGTGTGACAAACATGCACTTGGCCAGCATATGGGTTAATGGATACTGTTGCTATTTGGGTATTCGCTTCGGACAGCTGTTGCTCGCTGCGTCTCGCTCGCACCGCAAGCTTGGCTTGGCTTTGCGTTTTCGTGTGCCGTTGCTATTGCCGTTTGCTTTTGCTATTGCTTTGTGCTTGTTTCGTTTCTTTTGGTTCCGCTGTTTCTGCTGCTGCTGCTGCTGCTGCTGTGGTCTGATGTTGATAACTACGGCTTGCTTAACATGCATATGGACTTATGTGTATGTATGTGTGTGTTCATGACATACATATGTATATGTATATTACAGCAATAACAACAGCGTAGCACGTTGCAAAAATTTGTTTACCAATTTGCTTAGATTGGCGTTTCTTTATTTAAAGTTGCATTTCATTTATTTATTTATTTATTTGTTTGTTACCTGCACTAGCTGCCATTGACGTTGTTTATTAAAATTAATACATGTGTTCAATTTCATGGCGTGCACTGTAGCTGTATGTACACACATACATACATACATATGTATATTGGTTTCATTGCACTTAATTTACGCCCCATGGAATTGCTGTCGCCCCCCTGGCATGTGTGTGTGTGCGAGGCAAAAATAAAAAGTTGAAAGAAAAAAGAAACACGTAATGCGCTAATAAAACTTAAAAGGGCTGCGGGGAATGGTGGGTGTGGGTGCTGGGTGTTGGGTGAGGGATGAGGAATGAGGGAGAGCATGGCACACGAGTGTGCAAAGATTAAAAGCGTTTGATTGAGACAAAGCAAAAGCCATATGTACGCAACGAAATGGAATTGAAATATCGGCGAGAGCGATACAAAAACACGAAACGAACGAGAGAGCAAGTGTGTGTGTGTGTGTGTGTGTGTGTGTGCGAGCTGCATTTAGCAAAGTGTGCCAGAGAGAGATGGAGAGTAGCGCTTGCAGTTTGTTTATTTATTTATTTATTTCTCTTTTTTTCTGCTTTCCACTTTGCAGTTGACAACAGCTGAGCAGCAACACATACACAGAGACGTGAGCAGAGGCCGCAGCGGCAGCGCAGTCAGCAGACAGGCATATAGACAGACAGCCTGTCACCGTCTCCGTCACCCATCATCATCGTCATCATCATCATCACTATCCTCCAGCTAAGCGAGCGAGCGAGCGACAACGACGCTCTCTCTCTACACTCACGCTCTCGCTTTGATTGAACCAAACAGCTGAGACGGGCGACAGCCGTCGCACACACACCACTACACAGACAATGTCCGCGGATTCGCCGCGCCGCCATCACAGCCATCATTTACATCATCATGCTGCAGGCGGCGGCGGAGGTGGAGGCGGCGGCAGCGGCAACATTGGACTGCGAGGAGGCATGTCCATGCCGGCCGTGGTGCCGCCACAAACAGTCAGCGATCGCTCGATCCTGGACTCGGCCATTGGGTTCATTAACGATGTCACCTTGGTCCATCAGCCGGTGCAGGATCCCAAGGACACAATCACCTGGGCCCGCTTCGAGACGAGCGCTGATGTGAGCGATCCTCGTTTCGGCGACGACTGGGAGCTGGAGGGCAATGCGGCACCACCGCTGCTACTCATTCTCGGCTACGGCCTGGGCGTCCAGGTGTGGGCCATACCCGCCAACGGTGAGGCCGTGGAGGTGTTATCCTGGCGCCACGGCGTCGTCACCGCCCTGCGCGTGCTGCCCACACCGCTGACAGCTGCCACCGGTCTGGATGACAACGGGCGGGCCGACGAGCCCGTGGATGCATTTGCCGACAAGCGACCCTTGCTGGCCTTCGTCGATGGGGGCAGCGCTGCTGCCAACACTATGCTATCTGGTGGCCAATTCTCGGGCGGAGCTGGTGGCAGTGGCTCCTCGGGAATGTCGGGCGGCGGCATGGGCAATCCCTCGCATGCCGGCGCCTCCCACTTCAGTGCCGTCAACTTTGTCTCCCTGAAAACGGGCGTCCAGGTGAAGACCATCAAATTCAAGAATCCCGTGCTGGACATTCAGGCCAATCGCTCGGCGGTCGTCATTAGCTTCCACGAACGTCTGGCGGTGTTCGATGCGCGCACTCTGGAGGATCGCCTCACTATAACCACCTGCTTTCCCAGTCCGGGGTAAGTGAAAACAATTTTCATGCATGAATCTCTAAGCTTATGCTCGCTCTCTCTCTTGCTCTCCTCTAGTATCAATCCCAATCCCATTGCGCTCGGTCCACGCTGGCTAGCGTATGCGGAGCACAAGTTGCTCCACTCCAAGCGCAGCGGCGGCGGCTGCGACGGCGAGGGCGTCCCCAGCTATACGGCGACGGTGCTGAATGCGGCCAAGTCCTTTGGCAAGGGACTGCGGGAGCTGGGCGAACAGGTGGCCGCCGGCTTGACCGGCACCAGTGCCGGCAGTGGCAACAGCTCCAAGAGCAGCAGCTTCGACTCGGCCAGCGGCGGCGCCGATGGCAAGCAGTCGGGCGTGGTGACCATTATCGATGTGAAGGTAAAGTGCAAGAGAAGACAGACAAGAGTTCATAGATCCTCTGACCATCTGCTTTTCGCTCTTGCAGCATCCCATCAAGGACTACAGCCCGACGACGGGCACGCCGCTCGGCTCGATGAGCGATCCAATTATTGCCCACTTTGTGGCGCATAGCGAGGCGCTGGTTGCCATGGAATTCGATAGCTCTGGCATGCTGTTGCTAACAGCGGATCGTCGCGGTCACGATTTCCATGTCTTTCGCATCCAGCCCCATCCGGTGGGCTCCAGTCTGGCGGCAGTGCATCATCTGTATGTGCTGCATCGCGGCGACACGAGCGCCAAGGTGCAGCATATTGCCTTCTCGCTGGACTCCCGCTGGGCGGCCGTCTCCACGCTGCGCGGCACCACCCATGTCTTCCCCATAACGCCATACGGCGGCGCCATGGGCGTACGCACCCACACCTCGTTGCATGTGGTCAACAAGCTGTCGCGTTTCCATCGCAGCGCCGGCCTGGGCGCCGACGGACGCTCCAGCTCGCCCATCTCCCACTCGGAGAGCACCACGTTTGTGCAGTCGCTGCAGCCGTATCACAATCCCACATTGCCGCCCTTTCCGCGACCCACGGTGGTTCAGCCGCTGGCGCAGCTGCGTCAGCCATTTGTGCTCGGCTCGCCGCCAGGCAGCGCGACCATGGGCGGCGGTTCGGGCATGGGTGGCGGCGGCATGGGCGGCAGTGGCGGCGGCTCTGGCATCGGCGGCAGCAGTGGCAGCGGCGTCAGCTCCCATCAGCGTCAACGCCTGTCCTCGCTGTCGGATGACTGCGGCAAGCCGCTGAGCGTCTGTGCCACCTTTGCCAAGTCGCGCTCCTGGCTGCTGGAACCGCCAACGGCGACGCGCGAGGCACCGCATCGAGTCCAGCGCAAGGCCGTCGATTCGCTATTCGTGATGGCCGGCCATGGAGCGCTCATACAATACGATCTGGACACGAAGTTAGCCTCAAGTGAGTGACACTCCATGTGACAAGTTGACGGGAATTTGGATTAGTTAAAATTTCCTTTCCTTTTTGCAGATGTTGCCAAAGAGAAGATATGTGATGATACGCCCATTGAGCTGGAGGTGGAGGCCAAGGCGCAGTGGAATCTGGGCCGACGCAAGGATGGATCTCATGAAATTATACCACCGCTAGCGCTGGACAATTGGCTGATCAAGGATCGCCATGCCAGCCTCCTCATGGACAGCGCCCATCATTTCGATGAGGCCGACGAGCGGCCCGAGAGCTGGTTGGCTCAAGTCGAAATTATTACCCATGCGGGGCCCCATCGCCGGCTCTGGATGGGGCCGCAGTTCGTATTCAAGAACTACAATACGCCCAGCGGGTAAGAGACGGACGAATCTAGACGGGACATACACCTACATATACATAGATAGATATACATAGATAGATAAACTAGAATAGTCTTATTAATCTCTCACTTTAATCTCGTGCAGCTCCAATTTGAATCACGTGGATGCGGAGGCTGTGGAAATAGGCGTTACCAAGACGACAACCACAACGCTGCCCTCGACATCAGCGGGCTGTGGTGCGTCGGCCGGTGGTGCAATCATCGCCGCCGTCGAGCGTTCCAGTCCATTGAATATGCCGCTAAACGTTGCTGGCGGTGCGATGGGCGGAGCCAGTGTGGGCAGCACCGCACGTGCCGGAGTGCCGGTGCTCATTGAGTCCGGTTCATATAGTAAGTGCTTGAAATACCTGAAGCGATCGAATTGGGAAAATAACCAGAAATCTTCATCATTTATAAATGCGCCGCTGCAGGCAGCATTGAGCAGAGCCCCAAGCTGATGGATCGCTTTCGACATGGACACTTGGACTCTGACTATGGACACGGCGATATGCGTCTGAAGGAGGATCTGGCCGATGCCATGCGCGAGTCGCCCTCAACGATGGCAGCGCGTCGCGATACCGGTAAGTCTATATAGTAAAAGGAAACTCAGATATTGTGATATACAGATATACATATATATGTATGCTTAAACTATACTATCAAGTATATAGTATACAGTCGAGTCTCGATAACTCAAAAATCGCGATTAATCGACACAAAATTCTATACTCTTGAAAGAAAATTGTTCTTAATAATTTTCGATAAATTGAATTTCTGTAGAAATCGAAGAAAACTGATCTTTGCCTATTACGATTTATCGGGATTCTACAGTATATACATACATATATATTTATATAGAGTTAGTGCTCAAATGTGATTGTAAAGATTTCGGTCTTAAGATATCATTCATATATGTAATGAACTATCGAATATATATCACATTTGAGCACTCCACTAAATCGATTACAGTTATCGTTTATCGTTATCGTTTATCGTTAGCTAAGTTTTACCTGTTTCTCAAGTTTTGACTTTGAGCTAAATTCATTTATTGAATGTTTTACTATTAATATTATTATCAATTTTATGGTTATTATTATTATTATTATTATTATTATTATTATTGTTCTTGTTATTATTGCGATTATTCATTTTTTGAACGCTTTATGAGAAATGTAAATTTTACAATTGGCAAGTTTCTGAATTGAAGCAAACGAAAAAAAAAAAAAAAAAAAAACACCACGAAATTGGCATTGGTTTCTCCTTCTATTTTTTTTTCTCTTCTAATTTTGCTGTTGTTTAGCTCTGATTGCCCTTCTATATATATACAGATATAACCCCACATATAGTATATATAGACATATCCCAATTAATGCTACCCGATCAATCCTATATGCCTAATCATATTATATCATTCTGCTCATCATATCATTCAAATCACATGTGTGCGTGTGTGTGTGTGTGTATCCCAAAATCCATAAAGCTATACGCTACAGTGAGCACTCGCTAAGGAAAACTTTTGTAAATTGAAATATAAATTTGATTGGATAATTTTTTTGTATTCTAAATAATTTTTTACAAAATTTGATTTAAAATTAAATTATCTGCTATACTTATATTTTTTCTGGTGTTTTGCGCAGCTATGGTCACCCTTAAAATTTTGCTTTCGACATTTGCCATTATTATAGATAAAAAAAGAAAAAAAAAAAAAGAACCTGTTTACTACATTTTAATAATATAAACTTAATTTAAGCTAATCAAAATTGAAAATTTGTCAACTTTTGCAGACACACACACAAACACATACACAAGCACACATACACACAAACACAAGTACACATACACACAGCAATTGGCTTCTATACTATATCTACCTATACACTCTATTTTGCACTATTTCTCTCCGGATTACTTTTCTGTTGTTTAGGACTCTCATTGCCAGAGCCCACTGTAAACTAACGAATGAGAAAGGGAGAGAGAGAAAGAGAGAGAGATAGAGAAAGACACCAACACACAATTGTGCTTCTCTTTCAGCAAGAACTCTATCGTATATCCCGCAGTTCCCCCTTTAAAATGAATATTTCAACAGCAATTGCATATATAAAGACGATATGTGGATATGTATGGATATATATACACATATATCTATCTATATCTATTTAATCTCTATATGCAATTGTGCTCATTAAATCGGTAGTGCACTATAAAAAATAATAAAATAATTATATATTTATGTCTATTAATTCAATTATAATTAAAAATTATTCTGCGTTTGCTGCTTCTTCTTCTGCTTCTACATCATCGTGGTCTGTTTCTTCTTCTTCTTCTACTTCTACTACTTGAACTACTTCTCCTGCTTTTCAAGCGTTCCACTTGTTTGGGCTTTTTTTCCCTGAATTTCTAACTTTTTGCTTTTGGAAATGAAACGAAAATTTTAACCAACGCGTGCGAGTGAGAGAGAAAGAGTGTTAGAGACAGAGAGAGAGAACGAATGACAGAGAGAGAGAGAGGGAGAGTTGGAGAGCAAAAGTGTGAAGGAGAGAAAGAGACAGAGAACAGTTGAGAAGAAAGAGCACATGAAAGAATTTTAAAAAATTTTATAAATAAATATTAATAACTAAAATTAAAATTCTTAAATTAAACAAAAAAAAGCCAAAGCCATTTAATTTCGTTTAACAAGTCAAAAAAAAAATCCTTTAAAAAATTAAAAAGTTTGCAAGCCAAAAAATTAATTTAAAAACAAGTTTTTATTTTTATTTCTATAAATATATATAAAATATTTTGTATATATATTTAAATATATATTATTAATTTACGTTTCTATACGCTTAAAAAAACTCACTGCATTCAAAATAAAAAATAAAAAACACTAGTAAAAACAGTTGCAAAAATATATATAAAAAACTAAAATTCCGTAGCAAAACATTTTGTTCACTAAAAAAAAAAAAATTGTTTTTACCATTTGCATTTAGCTTAAAGCGTTCTTTTTTATGCCGTTTGCATCTTCTAGTTCAAATTTTCTTGTTTTTTGTTGTTTTTTTTTTCTTCTATAATTTTTTTTTAACACGTAAAGCTTACTAAAAACATGAGCCAAAAAGAAAATCGAAAATATATAAAAACAAAATTTGATGAAAATTCAAAGAAAATATAGAAAAATTTTGGCCTTTGGCTTTTTGGCAAAAATGCGCTTTTCTCATAATTTGTTTTCTCTTCTTCTCTTCTCTTCTCTGTTCTGTGCGCTGTCCGTAAACGTCGTCGCGTTCCTTTGCCCAGATGTTGCAGCTCTCGAGTCAGCAACTGTTGCAGCCGCAAGTGCCGCAGCAACAACTGCAGCAGCAGCAGCAGCAGCAGCAGCAGACAATGCCTGCTACTATGACGCCCTGGCCGAGCACGAGGCTGACGAGGAGGAGTCGGCGCAGGAGTTGCCGCACAGTGCTGCAACCATCTCGGCGCTGGCCAGCGTCTTGCCCAACATTTGCAGCTACGAGCTGAGCGCCAAGCCGGGTCATGCTACGGCAGCAGCAGCAGCGGCAGCGGCAGCGGCAGCGCCGCCGCGCATTGAGAAAATCGTGAATCCCTTGGGCACCGTCACGGACGTCCATGCGGGCATCAGCGGTGAGCTGCAGACGGACATGCTGGACGAGGTGGTGGGTCAGCTGGCGGCGGAGGATTGCGTCATCCATGAGAATTGCGACGAGGCGCTCTTTCGGCCCGTCGTGGCCATCTTCTGTGACGAGCTGGCCGAGCAGCGGCGGCACGAGGAGCAGCTGCAGCGCGAGCAGCGGGAGCTGAAGACGGCAGGACGGGCCGGTGGGCTGGGCGTCATGGGCGAGGGACAGCCGCCGGTGGTGCTGGCCAATAAGCTGATTGTGCCGGTGATAGCCAAGGAAATGGATGAGGTTATTACGCAGAAGGAGAAGAAGCAGAAATCATTAAAATCTCAGGCGGCGGCCGAGGATGCGGCGCAGGCGCAGCGATTCGCTGAGCTCTCCCATCTCAATAAGCCAGTCAAGGGCAACAACAACAACAACAGCAACAACAGCAATAATAATAACAAAACGACAACTGCCAAAGCAACTGCAACTGCGACTACAGCAGCAGCAACAACAACAACAACAACTGCCATCAGCGAGGATGAGCAGCAGCTCGAGGACGAGCTGCAGACATCGATAAGCTCGACGCTGTCCCTAAAAACAAATCAACCAAGCAACAAAAAGTCCAAAGCGGCCAAGCACAAGGCTAACAGAGCAGCAGCACAACAACAGCAACAACAACAACAACAGAGCAACAAGAAAGACAAAAAGCAGGCCGAGCAGGAGGCAGAGCGTAGACAGCTAGAGGAGGAGGAGCAGGAGGCAAGGGAGGTACAGGAGGCGGAGCTAAAGAGACAAGCGCAGCTCAAGGCTGAGCAGGAGCTAAAGGCAAAGCAAGAGCTGGAACAAAAAGCGGAACAGGAGCAGGAGGAGGAGGAACAGTTGCAGCAGCAGCAGCACCAAAAGCACACAGAGCAAACTGAACAGGAATTGGACTATGCCGATGGGCTGCTGGCCAAGCGTGCCTCAATAGCCGCCGTAATGGTAAGCAGTGCCAGTGCACAAGGACTCAATCTGCATGTGGAAACAGAGCAGGAGGCGGAGGAACAAGAAAAGCAAGAAGAGGCCAAAGTAGAGGCAAAGCCCGCCAAGCCGGAGCTAACGAAGCAGGCCAAGAGCAAAGCTGGCAGGAGCAAGGATAAGGACATGGACAAGGACAAGGAGAACGTTAGCTATCAGGTGAAGGTGCTGGAGCTGATGCCGGCGGAGTCAGGCAGCGCCTGGAGAACTCTCGAAAAACAACAACAGACACAAGAAACACAAACAACAACAACAACAACAACACAAACGGCAACGACAACAGCAACGGCCAGCGATGCAGATTTTCCGAGCCTCAGCGGGAAGCGGCAGACGGAGAAATTGCTGCCAGGACTGCTGACGCCACTGCAGGAGCCGCCGAGTCGTTTCGATGACTTTTTGCTGAGCGCGCTGCAGCCGCTGGAGGCGCTGCCGCCGCTGCCGGCACTGGAGCCGTTGCAAGGGCTCGGAGACGACGAGCAGGAGGTGGAGGAGGAGGCGAATGAGGATCAGGCAACTACAGCCAAAGCAGCAGGAGCAGGAGCTGGAGCTGAGCGTAGTCTCATCAACTTTGAGAGTCCGTTGCAGGAGAGCGCTGGAGCAGTGCCGCGTAAAATAACACCACCACCACGTGGCTTCACCGAGCAGAATCTGATCCTGGCGCTCTGCGGCTCGCTGCACTACGAGAATGAGTACGCGCAGCTGCAGCTGCTGGCGGGCAAGGAGCAGCTGGCGAGTGCAGCGATGCACAAGTCCGTCTGCAGCACGAACAGCTCGTCGGGGTCCGAGGAGCTGCTGCTCATGGAGGAGCCCAAGAAGCTGAGCAAGAAGCACAAGCGCGCCAAGCAGCAGCAAAAGGAGCAACTGCAGCTGCAGCAATCGGCCGTGGCAGCGGACGATGAGGAGCTGCGTCCATTGATTAGCATCAGCATGTGTGAATCCCAGCATCAGCATCAGCAGCAGTTGCTCAGTGCCGAGGCTGATGCTGAAGACGATGACAATGATAATGATGACGATGACAATGACAATGATGATGTGGATGAGGACGATGATGATGATGATGACGATGTTGCTGCTGGTGCCACACTGCCAGAAGATCTGCTGCACTTTGGCAGCAGCGCAACGGCACCCCACTCGGGCACCACCACGGACAGCGAGGGTCCTGTGCCGACGACCACGTCGGACGACAACATCCTCTATGCCAGCAGCTTGACCGCATCCTCGTCGCATGCCAAGCTGAAGACCAAGAAGCTGGAGCATAAAATCAATTTGATCGCCGCCATCGAGGCGGCCACATCGTCGTCCACCTCATCGGCGGAGGAGAGCAGCGCCGAGACGGCAGCAACGGCGACGGCAACAACAACGGCAGCAGCGGCAGCAACAGTTGCCACAACTGCGGCAGCAGCAACAACAGTTGCAACGGCAGCGGCCAGCGGTGCGGCTGCGGCGGCGGCGGCGGCTGCTGGCAGCACAGCGGCACATTTGGCCGCACTGGCAACGCCGGCTGCGGCAGCCAGCGGCGGCAGCGCTGCACTGGGCTTGGGCGTGGGCGTGGCACAGGTCACGGGCCAGCCGAGTGCCACAAAGAAGAAGACGAAACGTCGCAAGAGATAAGAATTAGCAATATGTTTGTTGTGCGTGTTCAGTTTCGTGGTGCTCTGGCATTTGTACGCCAGTCCGGCAACGCCACACGCGGTCAGACAACAGCCACAGCCGCAGTCGCAGGTGCCGTCGACGCAGCAACAGCAGCAGCAGCAGCAGCAGCAATACCAACAGCAGCACCAGGCGCAGCAGCTGATGTCGCTGCCAGCAGAGCAGCAAACGTTGCTGCCGCGCATCATCAAATAGCGCAACAAACATTCGCGTTACACACATACACACACACACCCACACATATACATACGCTCCTTGCACTTACGCCCACCCCAAGCCCAACCGTCTTAGAGCCTAAGTAAATAGCAAAAACCGCACACAACTCTCTCTCTCTCTCTCTCTCTCTTCCCCCTCACTCTCTCTACTACTACTACTACACACTCACACATATATGCATATATATGTATTGTAGCCCAATAATTAAGTGTGCAAAAATTCTAAAAAAAAATAATAATTATATAAAAAATCTAAAACTACACAAAAAAAAAACTATGTGATTATTGACAACAGCAAAAAAACGCGTTTGTAGCAATTTGTTTAAATTTACAAAAACAAAAAAAAAATCAACAAAACAAAACAAAAACGACAAAAAAATGTATGCTAACCATTTTTAAGTGCAAAAGTTATATTATTAGTTATTAAAAAAAAACTCAACATATATACATATATATATACATAAATAAATAAATATGTAAGAGAATTATGCAAAAATGAAAAAAAAAAAAAAAAATCAAAAAACCAAAACCAAACTCAAAAAGCTCTAATTTTAATGATGTAAATACAAACAAATATTTGGCAAGAGAATCGCAATTTGTATAAAAAGAAATCGTTTGCTCACACACACACACCCACACACACAAACCACATTTAACTGCTAGCAATCCAGCTTAAAATAGAACATGAAAAAAGCAATAATAACCACACTGTCCAAAGCCACAATCTCTGTAAATTCTAGACGCAGAGCTTCGCGCAGAACTCGATTTCTTTTGTAGACATGATCCTTGAGAGTTGCGCATTTGCGCTCTCTTGAATGCGACGCAGTGCTGCGTTGCTCTCTTGAATGCAGCCGCAATTTTCAGTGGCGCTGTTGACTTCAATTCAACTGAGAGCGCTAAAAGCTTCGCTGCGTCAATGCAATACTCTCTCTCTCTTTTTGAGTGAGCAGAGCTTACGGTTTTTTAAGCTGCGCTGCTCTCTTCGAGCGTACAGAGTTAAGTTTTGCCTTCGTTAAGTTTTTTTAACAACAGCCAACAATAACAATAAAACACAAAACTGCAAAAAAAAAAAATCCTCCCAAACAAAAAACTTTCAAAAAAAATTAAAAATTAAAAAAAAAAACAACTGGTTTTTTGGCGCTTTGCTTAAATTATAAATATATATTTTTAAAATATTATTTTGTATTTAATATAATTTTCTTCTGTTTATTTATTTCAATTGCAAAGAAAAAACCTAAAAATGAATAGAACTTATATATATTTTTTTATTTTAGTATTTTTCATATAAGAATTTTTTCTATTTTCAATTGTAAATTCAAACATTTCGGCAAAGCTTTTGAACCAATGTAAAAAGGAAATATAAAAGAACAACAACAACAAAAATAGTTTTTCTGTATATATAGCTTGCAGTATTTATGATTTTTTTTTTTTTTTTTAACTGATGGAAAAGAAGCAGAAAAAACATTGAGAAAACGAAAAACAAAAAGCAACTATAAATTAATTAAATTAAATATGTATAATTAAATAAATGCAATTTTAGTTAAAACTACCATAAAAAGTTTTTGTTGTGTATTGATGGGGATATATAAAGTCGCTCACGGAATACCCTGTGAAGTTGAGTGATTGTTATTTCAATTACTATCATTATAGTCTTTTTTTATTTTTATTTAAAAATTGATTAAGTTTAGTGCTGAAATATCTTTGCTAAATCCTATATATAGTGAAACAATCTATTAGAACTAGTTTTCTAGCATAGGTATGTCAATCAAATTTTTTATAAATACTTCTTAGCATTAGCTGTACTGCATATGTCAGGAGCAATCTAATCGTATGATTAGATCATATTGAGCTCATAATATATAGTTCATATTTAGCATATTTTACAAAGAAGAAGAGAAAACTGACAATTTTGATAAACCTTTATGAAATAGTTCATATATGACAGCTCGCTATCTGCGATGCACTTGTATAGCTAGTTATAAGGCAAAATTATTCCCAACAGACCCAGTGAACTCAGTTGCTAGTAAAGCAAAAGAACTGAAATTTGGTATGAGGCGTAATAAATGTCGCATATATGAAATTTTAATAAACACTTGCGCTTAACCTAAGTAATTTAGATGCAAATCAATAATATCTAACGTAAATGTAATAATATTTTTGTATTTTTCGCTCTTTCTTCTTATGCAGGCAACTTCTTTGGGTTGGATCAAATGGATGGCTTGGCCAACAACAACAACCCCAACAGCAACAACAACAACAACAACACAATTCTAACAACAACAACAGCTCTCAAGGCTGACAACAACAAGCTGCTGACGAAGCCCAAACGGCTGAGCATCAATCCGAATGCCAATGCAAATGCCGCCAAACAACAGCCGGAACCGAAACCAGAACCAGAACCAGAACCCGAAACCGAAACCGAACCCGAAGCCGAACCCCAACCGGAACCGGAACCGGAACCAATGAGCATAACACCACCACCGCCGCCAGTGTCGTCGCAGTCAACAGCAACAGCAACAGCAACAGTAGAGCCAGCAGCAGCAGCAGCAACAGTTGCTGCTGTTGCCGCGACAACAGTTGCTGGCAGCGTGCTGTTGCCGAAGCCGCAGCTCAACACCGCCGCCGTGGGCATCGATGGTGAGCTGGCGACCGTTGTGAACATTGATGTGTTTGACGATCAGCTCAGCCTGAGCAGCATCAGCACCAACAGTCGCCTATCGATCGAGGGGCCGCCCTCGCAGTCGTCGCCGCCGCTGAGCCTCACCAATGGCCTCATGATGGAGACGAATCTAATGCATTTCAGTGAGAGTGCGCCGCCAGTGTCTGTCGATACCGGCTCCAATTCCGTTGCCGGCTCTGGTTCCGGTTCCGGCTCCGGTTCCGGCTCCGGTTGTGAACCAATGTCCGGCACCGATGGCCTGCCAAATTTGTGAGAGTTAATCCAGAGGCCATCGGCGGTGCGTCTCATGCAGCGCGCCACGCTGATCGGCGACAATTTCAACTTGCGGCGCATCTGCACGCAGCTGTTCAAACAGTCGCCAACAGATGGCGCCAACGCAGATCCAACCAACGAGAAGCCTTCTTAATCACCACACACAAAATGCAAAAACAAAAAAAAAAAAAAAAAAAAAACAAAACTAAAAACTAAAAAAAAAAAAAAAAACACACAAAACAAAACAAACAAAAAGCAACAAAAAAAATCACCTCTAGTTCGGTGCTTGTTTTATCATTTATAATTTTATTATTTTAAGTATCAAATGAGACGAGGCTGCAAATGACACTTAATCGTGGGATTAATCACAAGCTGAAAAACAGTGCTGCAAAACGCTTTCAAATGCAACTACTCCAGAGTAAGCTTACAAGCGCCAGAAAGCTGCCTTCAAACTGTAATTACACAAAGCTAAAAGCTCGTGCGTTTTAAAAGCTTTTCGCTAAGTCAAAGCTCACTTAGCTAAATTTGTAAAGCTATGCAGGCCTCTAGTTCATCGAGTCAAAAAGAACTGAAAATTCCACTTGAAAACTTTTCCTCTCGTTTTGCTAACATCAGTCAAGGCGTATTAGCTTGCGCGCTATCCTTGCGCAATATTTGAAAGTACATTAAAGCTTTCACTTCCAAGAACAAGCTATAATTTTAGCTAAGTATTTTGCCCAGTGACCTAAGCGGCATTGTTTGCATTCAAGCTGAAAGCTTTTCAGTATAACAACTTTATAAAATGCAACAGTTTTTGATGAAAGCACATTGTAAGCTTTTGATTAATCCTAGGATAAAGTGGCATGCGCTGTAGCACGTGTCATTTGGTGTAAGAAACGCATTAGTTCAATTAGTTCCGTTTAATTGGTTTAATCGATATTATTATAATATTATAACGATTTTTTTATATCATCATCCTATAAACAATTGTTGACGAAACGCATAGCAAAAAGCCATAAAGAATATGCAAACAGAAAAAAAGAAAAAGTGAAGCACATCTAAAACAATACATAGATCAGATCAGACCTCAGCTGAATGCCGTGATATTTAAAATAAAATTTAAAAAAAAAAAAAAAAAAAAAAAAAAAAAAAACTAAAACTAAAGTAATTTTAAAAAAGAAAAGAAGGAAGCGAAGTTATAAGAGAAATAAAAAAAAAAAAATTTAAAAAAAAAATATATATGTATATAGATTTATATATGTATGTCAGCATGTATGCATTGAGAGAAGCAAAAGATAAGCGTATAAACTATTAAAAATATAGAAAAAAATAACATTTATATATAAAAAAAATGCATAATTATTTGTCTATTTACTATAAACAGCTGCGGTCATAAAAATAGTGCAACTGAGTATTAAATGTTAGACAAACAATTTGAATGGAATATTATTATTAACATGTAATTAACTTTGATGTTGATATTGAGTTTTTTCTTCTTCAGCATCTGGTGCTCAGTCGTACTACCATTTGAATGGCCTCAACTATAATATACATAAATGATATACATATAAACTATATAATTATATAAATCGATTGTAAAACTGCGTAAGCTTTTCTCAATATTTTCTTTTTTTTTAACAACAAATTTTTTTTTTTTTTAATTTTTTTTTTACTTCTTCTGCGTAAGACTAAAAACAATTTTTTTTTATAAATTTCCTATTACTATAAATACCACAAAAAAATATATTTTTTTTTAAACCCAAATGTTTTTTCAAACAAGCTAAAAATTCCATTCCGATACACAATAAATTGCGATTAAAACATATCCATATACAAAAAAAAAAATCCAGATGTACATATATATTTATAAATATATATGTATAATTATATTTGATACTGAATGCAAATCCATAAAAAAAAAAACAGCTCCATTATATCCATTATACCACTTAAATTAAGTTAACAAATTATATGTTGATAATAAAAATAATAAGAAACAAAAAAAAAAAAAAAAGAGATCAGTTCAAATATCCATCTAAAAACTAAGTGAATATGACAACTTACTATTTTTTTGCATAAATTCAGAGCTATATAGGATATATACATAGATATATGCATATATCTATATATATAACTCTACCTGATCCACTAAGAGATAAACAACGTATATAAACATGCAAACATATATATATATAGTTCTATATTCAAGAACTGCTGGACAGGAACTTAAAAAAAAAAGAAAGAAAAAAAACAGATAGAGAGAGAAAGAGGTATAAAGATATTTAGCAATAATTTAAATTATATTCTTTACATTCATTCTATTTGATCTACTATATGTATATTTATTTATATATACATATATATGTGTGTATAAAGTT